AGCTTTGTATGCGTCTCTGTGTGTGGAGTAAATGTGGTCTAGAGGGTTTTTTCCTCTGGTTGCACATGTGACATGCTGATAGAAATTATGTAAAACAGATGTAAGTTTGCCTGCATTAAAGTCCCAAGCCACTAGGAGCGCCACTTCTGGATGAGCATTTTCTTGTTTGTTTATTGCCTTATACAGCTCGTTGAGTGTGGTCTTAGTGCAAGCATCGGTTTCTGGTGGTAAATAGACGGCTAAGAAAAATATAGATGAAAATTCTCTTGGTAGATACTGTGGTCTACAGCTTATCATGAAGTACTCTACCTCAGGCTAGCAATACCTCGAGACTTCCTTAATATTAGACATCGCGCACCAGCTGTTATTGACAAATAGACACACACCACCACCCCTCGTCTTACCGGACGTAGCTGTTCTGTCCTGCCGATGTATAGAAAACCCAGCCAACTGTATATTATCCGTGTCGTCGTTCAGCCACGACTCGGTGAAACATAAGATATTACAGTTTTTAATGTTCCATTAGTAGTATAGTCTTGAACGGAGTTCATCCAGTTTATTCTCCAGTAATTGCACGTTGGCCAATAGAACGGATGGTAGAGACGGGTTACCCACTCGCCGACGAATTCATGTCCAATCAATTGAATTTACCACAGGTGGACTCCAATCAAGTTGTTGAAACATCTCAAGGATGATAAATGGAAACAGGATGCACCTGAGCTCAATTTCAAGTCTCATTGCAAAGGGTCTGAATACTTATGTAAATAAGGTATTTCTAAAAACCTGTTTTCGCTTTGTCATGGGGTGTTGTGTGTAGATTTTAGAATAAGGCTGTAACGTAAGAAAATGTGGAGAAGGGGTCTGAATACTTTCCGAATGCACTGTAGAGCAAATATACTGTATGCAGCTTGCTGCAAGCTACTGTTTGCAGGTTTGATGCAGTCTAGATGCTGTTTGCTTTCCACCCATGGGGGCCGTGGACATACTAAGAGTGACTGTGTAAGCATAACCTCAGTCAACCAGCGTTACCCACCATACAGGTATTCACCTTCATAAATGTAGTTATGAGAATAAGACAATATTATTGGCATACCATTACATACAGTACAATATCAATGTCCATCATTACTAGTCCTCTGGGTACACATGTATACCTAAAAAGGGGTTCTGACTAGGTGGAATACAGCTACGACCTGAAGTTAGAAGATTTAACGTGGCAGGTTATGAGAATTAGGTTAAGGATAGGAAAGGGGTTAGGGTTAGCTAAAATGCTAAACCCTAAAACCTAAAAAGGGCCCAGCTAGCTACAAACTGTATGTAAAGGCCTGGTTACACCTTCAATTAACATGTGGTTATCGTCACCTGTCAAGTTGATCCAATCACTATCTGATTGAGACAATAGTTGTGGATCATATGGCATTGTAAAGTCCCTCACCCTGCTCCACCAGTACCAGAAAATCAAACCTATCTTGTCTATCCACAGAGCTAGACTGGGCTGGGGCCTCCGTTTACTTGTCTACAGATCAAGGACAGTGAAGGAGCTGTTCACATGGTTGAAGTAAGCCGCAAAGGAAGAAGAATGCGTAGAAGTACAACATTTCAATGTCGGTCTTATGTTTGGAAATGTAAGGTCTAGCGACAGCTATGGAGCGATTACTGTTGCCACATTGTGTTGATGTACAGTGCCCCCTTTTGGTAAGAAATCATATTCAGAACATTTTAGCAACAGAGAGGACTCGTCACTGAAGTTTAATCAGTACATTTGTGGCGTAGGAGCATTTATTTGAGTACCATCTCTAGAATATGAGAGAATATTTGGTAAAAATGCATTAATGGTCACTATTAACTTGTCTAAATGACTAACGCGTGAATGTCTGTCTCATCAAGCTCATATTGAATTATGAGCTTTGGAGCTGTGATTTGATATAGGGAGAACCAAAATATAAGAAGAATTGACATTTTCTCAGGTCAATTCAGGTCATTTTGAAATAAATGTAATGAACTTAAAATCAATGCATGTTCGCTGTTATCAGTTGTAAAGATGCATAGCCTATAAAACGTATGCAATCCTATTTCATCGCTCACAAGACGCAATACCCTTTCAGCAAAAACTTCAAACGTCTGCCTCTCCAACACCCAATACACACTATTTGTCATTTTGTGTGTATACTTCCATTCCTTTGGTGGAATGTTAACTGTAGATACCATGAATAAGCATTCTCAGAGAAAGAAAATGAGAAACAGGAAGGGCCAACCTTTCCATGCCAGCTCACACCCAAAAATGCACCTTTCATAAACATGATTGATTTCTCACTTCTCAAGCCTAACACCCAATCTAAAGCTGGGATATCCAACAAAAGGAAGGATTTGCTTTGGGCTAGAATGGTTTTCACAGCAGAGAGAATGTTCCAGGGGGAGGGGAGTGGCTGTGGCCAATAAACTCCCCTTCATTTTAGAATTAGATAGGGTAGGTGAGAGCAAGACAAGATTAAACAAAAAGTAGCTCACAGGCCCCACTGGAGAGAATATGCATTTCATTTTTGTCAAACAAAAATAAAAGTTTTGTCAGTGAATATTTTGTTTCCATAATGAGACACAGGACTTGAAGTTAACCAACCAAGTGTAATATGAGATGCAACAAGGGAAGAAGCAATCAGCCAAAGATTAGAATAATCATACAACCTCTGGGCAACTTCAAAAATCATAAAGAAAAGCATTGAACTGATTCAACAAAAACAGAGGATATACTGAAGCTACAATATGAGCTTGATGAGACAGACATTCACGTGTTAGTCATTTAGACACTCTTATCCAGAGGGACTTATAGGCCACATCGACATATTTTTCACCTGGTCTGCTCAGAGGATTTGATCCAATAACCTTCCGGTTACTGGGCCAACACTCTTAACCAGTAGGTTACCTGCTGCCAGAAAACCCCCAGGACACAGCAGCAGAAATTTGCTGCTGTTCAGAAGGCCTTGCTGGTGTTAGAAAATCAGTCATCTCACCACGGAAGTACAGAACATTTATCTGGTTTTGGCTGTAAACAGGAATTATGGTTCTGCCAGAAGGTTATAAGATCTAAGCTACTCAGGGGTAGAAATTGTGTATATCGAAGTCTAAATATGAACATATTACAATACATGCACAATACTGAATCGCCATCCTTTGCTGATTATTTGTGGGACCACATGTGTTGAATAGATTCATGAAAATGGAAAAGTAATAATAGTGAAATTAGCAGTGGGAAGTCCCCTTTCAAAAACACTTTTAACATTACCCCCTACTGTGTTCCCATTGACAGTAATCAAGACACTAATAAGGTGTTCTGGCAAAGTCTTACCATAAGGCTACTTCTAAGAGAAAAGCCAGCCTCTCTCATGGAGGGAATATAATAGGGGTTAGATAAACACAAGTTTGAATAATCCTCTCACTAAGAAACCCTCTTTCAACCACTAATCCTTTGCTCATACCACATGCAGATAATTAACCATTTATACTGCCTTATTTGACCATGCCACTGAAATCCCTGTTTCTGGTTCCCTGTTTTCTTTGTTGATGAGGATTTGTTGGGTAGACTTTACTATAAGTCCAGAGGCTATAGTGTGATTCTATCAGGGGACTCATGTGTATAGCATACACAAACACACATACTTGAAAAACTGATAGCATCAAACTTTTAAGTGTAAGAACGTTTAAGTTCTGATGTTCTGTTTTGGTGGTTAGAATTCAGTGGCCTACCTTGATAATGGGCCTTGTTAATTGGATTAGTTGAGCTAAAGTGAGCTAATTGTTTAGTTCGTCAATCGGTCGGTTCAGTCATTAATCTTCACAAACCAAGGGTGAATAAATCGTTTCGTTTGTCCACTCTACTACTGTAGATCAAACATAACTGGTTTCGAGACGATTATGCCTACATCTATAATCTACTAGTTAAATTTCTTGATGAAAACTTGGGTGAATACATGGCACATCCAAAAACCGGGCTCCTCTCGCTCCTAAACGAGAATCATACCCATACAAGCCGACCTATCCTTCATTTGTGAAGAAGTCAATCTTGAACGTTTGTTTGTAGTCCAATGTAAAACGTTGTAATGCACTTTTACGAGCGCGTAATATGGACATCAGTCAGGGATTTCCGCTATTCCAGCTATTTAGAGATGTCAAATTATCAAACTTTCTCATACTCCTTGGACTGCACAAAATAGGCCTTCACATATCCTTCGAACACAGAGCAGAGTTTAAATATAATTGTAAAATTGTGAAGGATATTTTACTGGCAAATATTGGCAATGTTATCAGTGTCAGATTGTCGCACATTGATTTAGATTAGATTACAATGTTGCAGATCCTTTTTCAAAGGAAATCTTCAAATGACTTCAGGGCTAGTTAATAGAAGTGTTGAATATCAATGATTTTATCCGCTTTAGCCTACATGTCTAACACTTTGGATGGCTGTCTTTTAATCAATCATGAGTAATGGCACATTAATGGCCATCTTTTGAAATGCATCGGATAACTTCTAATAGGCCTATGTTACAGTTCCATCCCCATGATTCGAGTTGGATCTGTGTGCCTGTGTTCGGATCCGTGTGCCTGTGTTCATTCCATGGTTCATTCACAAATAAAATCACCTGGGAGCATGAGCAGCAGTGTGCGGCGTTTTCCTTTTTATTTTCCATGAGTTCACCTACAACTCCAGCACCTGCAAAAAGTACCTGGATGTGCATATGTTCTTCAGCTTTTGTCATTCACAAATCGCCAATTGAATGAGGCGTGGCTATCGTGGCGGCGACATAAGACTCCCTGGTGCCGAGGTCACACCACCAGTGGCTTGCAGCATAGGCTATAGGAGGGCCATACCTCCAGACCCCAGCCCAGACCGCATAGGCAAACTAAAAACAACACTTATCACTGGATAATCACATTGGACTACCAAAAGAATCGTTTGGATCTATAATTTTATTTTAGGCAGAGGATTCACTAATTATTTTTTTACAATGAAATTCCACATGGATTTATTTATATTGACGTTTATTGTGAACGCGAACTGCTGTGCTGCTATATATTGGCTGTAAGTATTCCTTACTTATTAATTTGTATGTAGCTATGGGTCTATTCAGATGCCTACGCTACTTTGTTTACTGACATATTTTTGTTCATTTGATAGGCCTATGCCATATGAAATAGCTGATGACCTAATTAAATGTTGTTTTTACCTTTGCAGTGGACTTACTGTAAAGGGGAGCTCTGTAGGCTGGAATCAAACTCATCATTGCAAGCTACTAGATGAGTTGGCCCCTGATCAATCGCAACTTTGCCGGCGAAATCTCGAGCTGATGCACAGTATTGTCCACGCAGCCAAGTTGACCAAAAATACCTGTCAGAACACCTTCAATGACATGCGATGGAATTGTTCATCTGTTGAAAAAGCCCCTCGTTTTACACCAGATTTAGCAAAAGGTAGGCTAAAGACACTTTAAAAAGTATCTTATAAATTGGAGAATATCATGTGGCCTGTAAACTTCTGTGATTGGCTGTGATTTGCATTGATTTATCTGTTGACTGTGCTCTATTGCAGGCACCAGGGAGTCGGCATTTGTGTTCTCACTAGCGGCTGCCTTAGTGAGTCACTCCATTGCCAGAGCCTGCTCGTCTGGAGAGCTCCCCAGTTGCTCGTGCGCCCCAGCCCCTGCTGAACAGGCCGGGCCCGACTTCATATGGGGAGGATGCGGTGATAACCTGCGCTACGGTCTCCAAATGGGATCTGCCTTTTCTGATGCACCGATGAGAAACAGCAGATCTGGCTCTCAGGCGTTCAGACTGATGCACTTGCACAATAATGCAGTTGGAAGACAGGTAATGGTCTAATCTCACATTGACATGAAAGGTAAATTTTTATGCATGGGTAATTATGCACGAGTTATTGTGCCCATTGTTTTTAATAGTGGCATTGCATTTTTGACTCACTGTTTTTTTTTTTTTTACATAATAAACAACATATTATGTTATTAATATCTGCAAAAGGTGGCAACAAATTTTAACATCCTAATATCATTTTTGCTCTACTTTCAGGCACTTATTGAGGCTCAGGAGACCAAATGCAAATGCCACGGGGTGTCCGGGTCCTGCTCTGTCAAAACATGTTGGAAGGGCCTCCGTGATATTAACTACATTGCCATGGATCTCAAATCCAAGTACCTGTCTGCCACTAAGGTGATCCATCGTCATGTTGGGACAAGGAAGCAGTTGGTCCCCAGAGAGTTGAATGTTCGACCAGTGAGAGAGAGTGAGTTGGTCTACCTGGTCAGCTCTCCGGATTACTGCACACACAATGAGAACCATGGCTCACTCGGCACACAGGACAGGTATGTTTGTGTTTCTCTCAAGGTTCAGTGGAAAATGTGATTTTTACTCTACCTTTGACACCTTCAAGGTCTAATATGTTGATCCTCTCCCCCATTCATAAGAGTTTTATATTGTTGTTTATTGATTGGAACAATCTTTTTTGTCTCCAGACAGTGCAATAAGACATCCAATGACAGTGGGAGTTGCAATCTCATGTGCTGTGGTCGTGGCTACAATGCCTACACTGAGAGGATTGTGGAGAGATGCCAGTGCAGGTACCACTGGTGCTGCTATGTCACCTGCAAGAGGTGCGAAAGGACAGTGGAGAGATATGTATGCAAATGAACTTTGCCCAGAGACGTGAGTGAACATGAAGCACTATTTTCACCACCATTATCTTGTCGAGTTGTGCAGACCCAGCAGTCACCTGACCTGACTCCCTGTGTGCTTCCGTGCTACTACATAGCCTACAGGCTAAGTGCAATGAAAAACAAGAGGAGCAACTCACAGACACTACCAAAGATAAGCAGATGATCTGGACTCCATTAGCTGTTTTAAAGAGACTGGAGGGGACTACTGTGAAGAAGATTGTGTTACTTGAAGAGCAAATGTGATTGATTGGGAGCTGTAGGCTATTCGTGCTTGATTAGTAAAATGTTCCGCAGTAGGACAAGTTGAATAGATGACAAAGGGCATGAATCACAATAAAGACCGCCCAGAAGCTTCCCCAAATGCTAACTGCCCAGTCAGCTTTAAGATTTCCAACTGATAATGAAAAGCTTTTAACAATTTTACATCTTACACGTTAACTAAATTGCAAATGAGAAGCAGAATAGCTGATTGATCTTATATCCATTTTAATCACACTGGGTTAATGCCATACTACTCAGTTTAGGCATATTCTGATCATAGGCATGCAACACACATAATATCAACAGTATGAATTTGAGCTGTATTTTTAGTTTTTTTTATGATTACATTGGACATGTTGATGTAGATAAGTGCAATTGTATATTTATTTTATTAAAAAAACTACACACAATGTGTCCTGTTTAGTTTTAACCATCTGTGTATCATATGAGACTGCCTATGACAGGTGCTGCCAAACTTGTAGGCCTAATTTGTCTTTGGGCAAAGCAATAGTAACTGTAGTATTTATGCAGCAGAAGCTGTAGTAACACGACACAATAACAAATCCACACTTTCATTAATTACACTGAACGTAAGGCTCACGCTGTTTATACCATCCACAGTCAGCTAAAAGTTAAATCGTGGTACTTCAATCTCTGAAATATTTAAGTCAAGTGCCTCAGCTTAATGACGTTTCAGTCAACTACACAGACCCATTTTCTAAATGTGTCTGAAGCATGGAGTTCCAGTGCTTGAGATAACTAAAGAGTTGACATCCAACTGTAAAAGTCCCCCATGTTGATTCAGAACCTGGTGTGAATATGCTTGGAATGCACACAAGCCCTCCCAACTGAGTTCAGTCCAGAAGGGTATCAACTGTGGTGATAATTTGAAAGGGGCAATCTGCAGTTGCTAACATCCATTTTTGGATTTACAGTTGAAGTCGGATGTTTACATACACCATAGCCAAATACATTTAAACTAAGTTTTTCACAATTCCTGACATTTAATCCTAATAAATATTCCCTGTTTTAGGTCAGTTAGGATCACCACTTTATTTTAAGAATGTGAAATGTCAGAATAATAGTAGAGAGAATGATTTATTTCAGCTTTTATTTCTTTCATCACATTCCCAGTGGGTCAGAAGTTTACATACACGCAATTAGTATTTGGTAGCATTGCCTTTAAATTGTTTAACTTGGGTCAAACGTTTCAGGTAGCCTCCCACAAGCTCCCCACAATAAATTGGGAGTTTTTTGGCCCATTCCTCCTGACAGAGCTGGTGTAACTGAGTCAGGTTTGTAGGCCTCCTTGCTCGCACCTGCTTTTTCAGTTCTGCCCACAACTTTACTATAGGATTGAGGTCAGGGCTTTGTGATGGCCACTCCAATACCTTGACTTTGTTGTCCTTAAGCCATTTTGCCACAACTTTGGAAGTATGCTTGGGGTCATTGTCCATTTGGAAGACCCATTTGCGACCAAGCTTTAACTTCCTGACTGATGTCTTGAGATGTTGCTTCAATATATCCACATAATTTTCCTTCCTCGTGATGCCATCTATTTTGTGAAGTGCACCAGTCCCTCCTGCAGAAAAGCACCCCCACAGCATGATGCTGTCACCCCCGTGCTTCACGTTTGGGATGGTGTTCTTCGGCTTGCAAGGTACCCCCTTTTGCCTCCAAACATAATGATGGTCATTATGGCCAAACAGTTCTATTTTTGTTTCATCAGACCAGAGGACATTTCTCCAAAAAGTACGATCTTTGTCCCCATGTGCAGTTGCAAACCGTAGTCTGGTTATGTTATGGCAGTTTTGGAGCAGTGGCTTCTTCCTTGCTGAGTGGCCTTTTAGGTTATGTCGATATAGGACTCATTTTACTGTGGATATAGATACTTTTGTACCTGTTTCCTCCAGCATCATCACAAGGTCCTTTGCTGTTGTTCTGGGATTGATTTGCACTTTTCGAACCAAAGTACGTTAATCTCTAGGAGACAGAACACGTCTCCTTCCTGAGTGGTATGACGGCTGCGTAGTCCCATGGTGTTTATACTTGCGTACTATTGTTTGTACAGATGAACGTGGTACCTTCAGGCGTTTGGAAATTGCTCCCAAGGATGAACCAGACTTGTGGAGGTCTACAAAAAATGTTCTGAGGTCTTGGCTGATTTCTTTGGATTTTCCCATGATGTCAAGCAAAGAGGCACTGAGTTTGATGGTAGGCCTTGAAATACATCCACAGGTACACCTCCAATTGACTCAAATGATGTCAATTAGCCTATCAGAAGCTTCTAAAGCCATGACATCATTTTCTGGAATTTTCCAAGCTGTTTAAAGGCACAGTCAACTTAGTGTATGTAAACTTCTGACCCACTGGAATTGTGATACAGTGAATTATAAGTGAAATAATCTGTCTGTAAACAATTGTTGGAAAAATTACTTGTGTCATGCATAAAGTAGATGTCCTAACCGACTTGCCAAAACTATAGTTTGTTAACAAGAAATTTGTGGAGTGATTGAAAAACGAGTTTTAATGACTCCAACCTAAGTGTATAAATTCCTGAAGAACATAATTTATAAATGCCTCATGAGCTTAGTTTAACTGTCGTACCCAATCAGAATCCAAAATATAAGCTTGTTAACAAAGTAAATGTAAACAAACACTATATAGTCTCAAAACATTGTTATTAAAACTATAATTTTGATCAGTCCTTGCATCCGTAGCTCTATAGGAACTTGAGAGTGGTTACATTTCTCCAGCCCCATCGTGCAGCTTTTTACAGAAACGGGCGGGGAGTGCGCTTTGTTATTTTTTCAACTGGTGATGGCCTCTTCAAACGGTCATGAGCCACAGACATATGGGCACATACCGTTATATCCTCATCATTATTGGTGGTAAAGATTGATTACTATTATAAACAAGAAAATTACATAAAAACTGTAAAACAAAATTATATGGAATTGGTCAGTGGTCACTAAATATAAAGGTTTTCTGTCTGTGTTGGAGTATTTCAAATATGATTGATGGTGGCAACACTTGGCTCCTAACAGTATTTTGGTGGAAATGTGTGGACAACTATTTACAATAGGGCTGTTGTTAGTCTTTCACATGTTTTAAAACCCTCCATGGAGACTAATTACAAAAGAAACAGGTGTTTAAATTATTTCTGCCTCCAAAATACACTAATGTTTTAGCCTGCCCTGTTGTGTAGCTAATTGCTGAAAAACATTGTTCTTTTTGAGTGTTACATTTGTAGATGGCAAAAGAAAAAACAGCATGCAATCTTTGGTTAGAATTCTATAGAATTCTATAGACTGCAGAAGGGGAGCTATAGGGTAGAATTACTGCCTAATTAGCTCTGCTTACTCTATGGGGGGGACGGGGGGGGGGGACACTTCACTATTCCATTACACTGTTTCAAATGACTTACTAGTTTTTCATAGACTGCGTAAAAAAAAAACACACAATTAATCTCCATGGGGTTTCCAGAGGACCACTTTCCAAAAGCAAAACATAGGCCAGGGAACCAGTAGATTAATTGCCCTCTTAGAGCCTTGTTTATAGTCTAACGTTTAAGGATATGGTGCACTCTGAACCCCTTATTTCCTCCCAGAGGACAGAAATTGACATACAGAGAGCATACCTTTTTTATGTTTGTTTGAAGAGTGCAGTAGATACAGTTACCACTAACACAATTTGAGAATTACATTCAGTCTATCTCCTAGCCCTACACTCTAGCCCTACACTCTTTTCATCTGAAGAACCATTTTTGTAAGAAAGGGTTCTTTGATGATTCTTTGGAAGGCAACAAGGATTCTTTGGAATGCAATAAGTGTTATACAAAGAACCCTTCTGAATCTGAATAAGCTTTTATTTGTAATTTTAGTAACACTTCATTTGGATAGTCCCAAGTAGATTGTTTATAGATGGTTTTTAGATGTTAAATAACTGTCAACAACATTTCCACTAACCCTAGCCCTAACCCTAACCCTAACCTTAACTCTTATCATAACCCTAAACTTAACCCTAATCCTAACCTTAACCCTTACCCTAACCTTTATTCTCTGTTACTCTGTTAATTATTTATGCATAGTCACTTTAACTCTACCCACATGTACATATTACCTCAACTACCTCAACTAGCCGGTGCCCCCGCACATTGACTCTGCACCGGTACCCCCCTGTATATAGCCTCCCTACTGTTATTTTATTTTACTTCTGCTCTTTTTTTCTCAACACTTTTTTGTTGTTGTTGTTTTATTTTACTTTTTTATTAAGAAATAAATGCATTGTTGGTTAATGGCTGTAAGTAAGCATTTCACGGTAATGTCTACACCTGTTGTATTCGGCGCATGTGGCAAATAAAATTTGATTTGATTTGATTTGATTCATTCTAAACCTAACCCTACCACTAACTGTAACCTTAGCAAGCAGTTGCTTATCAACATATAGTTTGTTGATAGTATGACCATCTGTAAATCATCTATATGGGACTATCCAAATAAAGTGTGACCATATTTTATTTTATTTTAAATAGTGCCTGCGCATTAGTGTTTATCTCAGTGTTTAAACTTTAATATCATTAGTTTGCGTAATCTGATACATTTAAAAAGATAGATGAGAGAACGTTTTAAACTGTACCTATATGGGATTATTTTCAGGGATGTTATGGAGCAGAGAGTTGGAGAATAGAAGGGAGTACGA